AGTATTTTCTAGCCCATCCCCAGTATTTTCTAGCTCATCCCCCACTATTTTCTAGCCCATCCCCAGTATTTTCTAGCTCAAATTATAATAGAAAGAGAAAACAATTCAAAAATTGCCTGATTTACTATTCGGGCCTTTATCATTAATTACCATTTACGTGCAGTTAATCGGGACACAATGCTATTTGGTTGCTGGTAAAGGTTTGATACAACATTGGTGCTGGCAGTCAAAAGTTATCAGGAAAAAAACAACCCAAAACATGGTGCTTTTCTTTTTAATTAGGCGATCTGTTACATCGTGTTATATCGCAGTGTGACTCCTGGGACACCTGTTGGGCTCGGGGATATTTTTTCCCGCCCCGCTTCTGCCATTAACACAACCCACTAACGTCATCGGGTTCAGTAGTGTAGTGGTTATCACGCTCGCCTCACACGCGAGAGGTCCTGGGTTCGACCCCCAGCTGAACCAGATTTTTTTTCTTGGTATTGAATTTTATTCTTTTTTTTTTATACTACTATTGACCCCTCTTTTCTATCCCAACTCCCGATTTTACAGCGGTTTTCACTGTATAGGTGGGAACTTTGTGCTGCTTTTTCTTTCCTCATCCGTACTATCGTCATTTTCCTCTACTTCTTTTGTATGTTTGTCACTCTCTTGTGAACTGCTATTTCAGGGGTGCCTTGATAGTCGAAGCAGACGTTGTGCTGTTGAGACTAGAGAGGTGAGCAGAGTAAGTCTGATTCCCCGTTTGGACTTCTCTGTTGCTATCCACCCCTTGGCGCTCATAAGACCTTATGTAGTTGCGAGCGCCGTGAAACCTTACTAAAACAACAAAAAACCCAACAACAACAACAACTAGACATTCCAACAGCAGTGTCAGCTGTGACACAAACTCCCCACGAGTCGGAGACTGAGGATAGGACAAGACAGCACCAATGATTCTTTGATAGCACTCACTGAACTCGCCAAAACGTACTCTCTGTTAAGTGATAATATGGGTCTAGTTCTGAATACAGAATATATGTTAATTATATAATATCAGATACACCGATGACATAGTTTTGGTTACAGACCCAGAAAAGGAGCCCCAATTGCTTCTAGACACTGTTGTGGCGGCAAGTGAATCAATGGAAAGGTTCAAGGTCGTTGGATGGGAGGAAAACAGAATGCAGGGTAAGACAACAAAAAACCCAGGAAGTCTTAGATCTGGGATCTACTCATCTATTATCTATTTGTGGTGACCGAATTTTGCTATTCAAAAGGCTTTTTAATGGCAGCATCGATCGACGTGCTGTTTTCGCCAAAGATTCTTTGAAATATTCTCCAGATCATGACGCCCTTCGTTTTTTCAGTTTTCAGACAGTTTTGCTGCAAAAAAGCTAAATGTCTTTATTTCGCCGACGCTTCTGTCTCTGGAATTTGAGAAAATCCGCCAGGTTTGTTTATTTCAAGTTCGACACCACCACGCACTGTCACGCAATACTGAGCACTATTTTAAGTGTGCGACCCGTATAGATCTAGCCTCATGTTTTCGTTTTATTACTTGGTGCTAAATTCGACTGTGATTCTTTCGATTGATGCCCATCGTCGCTTTTTCTGGACTCCTTTGTCCAATTCTTTTTCTTGCTACTGGGAACAATTAACAGACTTCTGTCTCAATCCGTTCATAGAACGGGGGCCCAGCGAGTACTTGTAATGTTATCAGCAAAGGCGCAAACATCCAACAGGTAACATCTTGGAGAGAATCACATCCGATGCCACATGTTCCACAGACCAAGAAATTAATGGCCGTCAAAGTTTGGTGACTTTTAAAGCTGAATCCTCGTACTCCTTCTACAAAATAACTTATTTGTAGATTTGAACACCGTGTTTCAGTAGGCCTACAGTTCACCGTAAAAGGTGTTCTCTGCAGGGTGAAGAGGGTTGTTGTTATGAAAGAGATTAAAAAACCCCGCCGTAGACTCTGGTGATAAGTAGGTCACATCAAGTCACGTGAGATTTGTGGGGCAGAATGACGTCATCGTGTAGTGTAGCGCCGTGTCATGATCTAGGTCAATGAGCTCCTTCTTTGTCCAGACTCGTGGCCCGACAACAACAACAACAACAACAACAACAACAACAACAACAACAACGGCAACAACAGCAACAACACCACCACCAACAGCAACAACAACAACACCACCACCACCACCAACAGCAGCAACAACAACAACAACAACAACAACAACAACAACGGCAACAACAGCAACAACACCACCACCAACAGCAACAACAACAACACCACCACCACCACCAACAACAACAACAACAACAACAACAACAACAACAACAACAACAGCCACCCCCCTGATCATATGGTAGGAAAGATCTACACCTAGCCTTCTCGGACAAGGGCGAAAAATCTCGGAGGTCCCGAGTCCAAGTTGGTCAATAAATGTCCAAGGCAGAAACGTCTACAAAAGTGGCAGTTTTACCGTACGGTATTAGTTTTGAGAAACCGCTATAATACTGCGAGTCATGGGGATTGTGAAATGAAAGGCCAAAGATAATGTTTGCAGTTGGCAGTGTCGTTGATTGGCGGGGTGAGAAAGGAGGTGATTGTCCTAAACAAGACTTTCTATTGTCTGGTATATTTAGTTTTTTCTGTCACTGGAACTATGGCAGCTTCCCTTTGATTAGCATGATTTGTTCCAAATTTTGCTGAAATTGTTCCAAATGTGACCTAGTTATTGCCCTTTGAAATGTTCCTCTTTTTTAAATCTTTTTTTATTCTTTTTTTTTTTTGATAAATCCGGGGAAAACTGTGACTAAAACGCCGTCGTTTTCCCCGGATTTATTTTTTTTTAATGAAAAAAAAATAAAAGAGGCGCCGGTGAGTTTGTGGGCACATGGAAGTAGTGGTGTATCCTGGAAGACTGTCCATTTGTCTTGCTTTTGTTGAAAACAATATCCACGTATCTTGCACACTTGTCGAGATGATTATGATTGGGGGTGGTGGGGGCCGTGTGAGGTCACAGGTAAAGCTATAGTTTGGTGATCTCCAAAGTCTGGAAACTACAAAGTTACCTTTAGGAAAAAAATTAAGGCCTTTGGTCGACGTTTTTCAGTAATAGCCGCAGAGAAATGGGTTGTCAATTGATATTAAAGATATTGTGTCCCCCCCCCCCCCTCCAATATACACACACCAAATAAATAAGTATATATGTAGCCTAGATCTACACACTTTAACGTCTTCAGGTACAAAAAAACCAACTATGAAAATAAAGTTTCATTTAATAACCCCCTTAAAGCATGATATTATATAAGTTTCTCACAGTAAGGGCTCTAGTCCGTGAACTAAGGGCTCTAGTCCGTGAACTAAGGGCTCTAGTCCGTGAACTAAGGGCTCTAGTCCGTGAACTAAGGGCTCTAGTCCGTGAACTAAGGGCTCTAGTCCGTGAACTAAGGGCTCTAGTCCGTGAACACAACATACTTGTTGACCTCCCTATGTCGCTCTATGTCAATGTTTTCATAACGGCACTCAACTATCACGAAGTTTGTGTTTCAAACTCTGCACCCACGAGCCACTTGCTCGTCTGAATAAGGCATGGGCTACTTTTTATCTGTATTGTTTCGTTGGGTTTTTAATCTTTAAAAAAAAATTTTCAACTGAGCTCGAAACGGGCAGACAATTTGTGGGGGATCAGCTCTTGTTCCACAATTTGGTGCAACACAATAGGGTCAGGTCGAGAGTTACACTGTCGGATACGACGGTCGTTCATTGAATCTTTTTAGTTTGTTTCAGTGAAAGTTTTATGGCACTTGCAACTCAATCTGGATGTGTCGAAGATTAGAGGGGTTACAAGAGAGTAACAAACAAAAGAAAGAAAGAGTAGATATTAGGACGACATTCGCTCGATAGGAAAGAAGGAGTAAACCACACCAGAGCTCCCACCAACCACCCACAAGTCTTTTACCCGACTATTGTGGACTTGTCGTAAAACAGTGACATTTTCAGAATGTGATTTCTCTATTTCTGGAAAGCTGCATGTGCAATTTTGACAACTTTGAATAAGAAATTAAGAGCACTTTAAGTGACGGCTAAACACAAAAGCGCCATCTCAAAGGAATGGGCAAAGATCATCAGAATAAAGAAAAGAAAAGAAAAGAAAAGAAAAAAAAAAAAACTACTCTTTATCTCTTTGTTTTTGGAGATGCTCGTGACTGAGAGCATTTTCCTCAACACGTAGATCTACGTGGTTGGCTCAGGGCAAAATGTAGCCTTACACTTCGGACATTTTTTAAAGCAAAACTTGGAGACGATAACCCTAAGTCTGACCCCTTCTGTGGGTGGTTGGCGGGTGCTCTGGTGTGGTTTGCTTCTTCTTTCCTATCAAACATCTATCGTCCTTATCTCCCCTTTTTCTTTTTTATGTTTGTTACTCTCTTGTAACACCTCTAATCTTCTGGCGCTCAAATGACCTTATGCTGTTGCGAGCGCCGTAAAACCTCTACTAAAACTAACTGACCCCTTCTTGAAATGGTCTTCTGGACTTCATCTCTGGCCAGTTCACATGTACTCAGTACATGCCAACATTTTGATTTCTAGATCTATGTTCTTTTTCTTTCTTTTTTGTTTTGTTCATATTTGTTTGACTGGTAGTTTATTGTTATTGCTACTGAATGGGAACTCTAACGACAGTAATTAACCAAATCAACCAACAATTGAACAGAAAAACAGAGTTATGAGTCAACAAGCGTTCAAAATTGATACTCTCACACTTTTCAGTTTGTGACAATGCCCGTGTTTTCCCGTGGACTTCTCTATTACATGTATCACTGTTGTAGGTATCTAGGCCTATCTAGTGAGCGTCGATCAAGCACTCACCGTAACAGTAACAGCCTTCCCTGGTGACACCACACACACACACACTCACACACATACACACACACACACACTCACACACACTCACACACACACATACACACACACACACACACACACATACACACACGCACACACACCAGGCACGGGCATTTGCTGCACGAGCAACTCGAAAAAAAAACGACTTCCGATTGAACTGAGCAGGTGACAACTCCCACTCACCTTCCGTCCGCCTGATGCATGTTCTGTAGCCGTGGTTGTGTGGTGTAGATGTATGGCTCATCTAGCTGTGGTATGTATGAGAGTGTTTGATGCCTGGCTGTTGTATTTTTTTTATAAAAATTTTGTATCTCGGATCTCGGAGGTCTCATGTGCAAGTTGCATACGTTAAAGATCTCTTGGTAGTTTTAAAATCGGCAAGAGTAGGCTTCGGCCGCCACCCGGACACAATTCAAAATGCCTACCAAACTGAAAATGTTTAATGTGCCGACGGTCATATTACCTTATGCAGTTGAGAGCACCGTAAAACACTTACC